AAAGATGATTCTGACAGCCTAGTTCTTTATGAACTATTTGTGTGTTAGCTTGTCCAGACTTTGGATGAGTTGGCCACTGGAGCAGAAAAATCACCACCAGGCTTGTCATATATCATTGATGCAATGTGCCTTTCTATGTGCCTGGCTGAGCAGCTTCCAATGACATTTGACATGGGGTTTTCTCCCAAGGCCATGGCATGCTGTGTGCAGCAAATCTGAGCTAAAAAACTAGTGTATGGCTGGGTGTTCTTGGTAGGCCTCCAGGCATTTCATGTTCATTTATAAAATGCCTTCTTTCTCCTTCAAATTAATCTTACGTTCTTTCCAATCACCACTGTAATACTCTTTTGACTTTATTTTCTGACAAGCATGAAATAGCCTGATAGGATTGAACTGAAGTATAAAAAACCAGAGTTACTACAGTCAGAAATAAATGAAAAGCCAAAAACCAACTCTGCAAATTTACCTTCACAGCTGTGTTAGTGCACAGTTCAGGCCGTTTCTAGTTTTAGGACTCTACATTACCTCTACATGATGTCTTTGTGTTGAATGAAGTTGTAGGTGTTATGTTTACAGAGCAGTTAACCTGTCTCCAAAATCTGTAACGCTCCTGGATGTTCTCTGACTTTCACTGCAAATGGAACTTCAGTGTTGGTTTATGGAAAAGCTACTAAAACAACAGAAGGACAGTTATCACAAGTCTCTTTATGAAAAGCATTAGCTTGTGGTAATTAATCTGAATAGGACATTTACTTTAGTTCATCTAAGCAAATCAATCTAAATTTTATTTTCTTCCTGGATATGTCGTTTAATGCCCATTTAGGTTCAAATATTATATTTCTTTAAATTGTTAGTCCTAATGTGTGTTGTTGGGTGATCCACTCATTTAATAAGCATGTATTTGGCACCTCCTATATGCCTGGCTTTTGGAATTCAGAGGCAAATGGCACAAAGTGTCTGTCCTCAGAGTGTTCCTAGTCTGATAAAGGAAGAAGAAAAGTAAACAAGAAATGTGTATGGTGCATCAAAGCCCAGTGGTAATAATGTGTACCAGGCATAGGGGCGACAGAAGAGAATGGGAGTTCAAGGAAGGCTTCCTGGAGAAAGTGATCTCTGAGCCAGACAAAAAGGGGTAGGGACTTCCCTGGCGATCCAGTGGTTAAGACTACATGCTTCCACTGCAGAGGGCATGGGTTTGATCCCTGGTCAGGGAACTAAGATTCCGCCAAAAAAAAAAGGGTAAAATGATGATAGGCAGTGATGGGAAGTTTGTTAACCAAAAGGATCCAAGTAAAATGGAATTGAATTAGGGAAACCGAACAATTTGTATGGGGCTTTATGTTTAAACAACACTTTTATGTATTCGCCCACTCATTTCTTCCCTTGAGGTATGCAAGCCAATATCTATCTTATTTTATAAGTTAGAAAACTGGCTCTCAGAGTTCCCACTCTGAGAGTGACTGTTACCTGAATGAGATAACTCAACAAATACTTATCAAGTGCATAGTACCTCTCTGTGCCTCAATTCTTTATCTGTAATATTAGCATAATAATCATACCTCTCTCTTAAGATTATTTCGAGGAATAAATAATATATGCTAGTAACATAGAACAGCGCTGGGCTCAAAATCAGTGTTATATAAGCCAGTTATTATTACTAGTAGCAGTAGTAATAGAATGCCAGATACTGTTTTAAACGCTAATTGTGAGCAAAACAAAAGCTAATTTTCATGGAGTTTACAGTGTAGCTAGAGCAGACAAATGGAGACAGTAAAAGGAAATGAAGTTGAAAGATTTGCTGGAAGAGGGAAAGGCACAGATTGCATAGGAATTTATAAGCATGCTAAAAATTTAGAATTTTAAGCAAAAAAAAGGATCTAACTTATGCTTTGAATGAATTACACATTGAATAGATTGAAGAAGGGCAAGGATGGAGAGAGTAGACCCGGTAGAAGATTATTCAGAAAATGGTGGCTTTGGGCCAGTATTGGGGGGGGCTGAGTGATGAAGGGGCGCAGAGAGAAGTGGTCAAAATCTGGATATATTTTGAGGGTTACCAGGCAGAATTCACTGATGGATTGGATACATGGTGTTCAAGAAAAGTAGATTCCAGAATTTTGGCCTAAGCAGGTAGATCAAAGCTGGCATTTCTTGAGATGGAGAAAAATTTATGAGGAAGACAACTGGCGGCAAAAATCGAGATTTTAATTTTAAACAAGTTAACACTAATAAATTGATGAATATATGATATTGCAAAAGATGAGGGTGAACAATTTAAGCTACATTTACTAGTTGATTGGCAACAGTTAAAATTTTCAAAACAATTTGAGCTAAGGATCTTCATGTTTATCATATTATATTGAGCTGTTTATGTGGTTTGCTCTCCCACTATATTATAAACTCCTTGGTACACTATTCACCTTTGTGTCATCACTGCCCAGCACAGTGCCTGGCACATAGTGTGTACTCAGTAATTGTGGAAGTAAATTGAAAAGAAATGGTTTATGCCCATACAGAAATTCGAGTTGAGATTGTAGGTTTCCTGGGTCTGCTGTTGTATAAATTCAAACCACTCATGCTTGGGGTTGTTGAGAAAGTTCCAGATATCTGCTTAGCACCACAAAGAAGGGGAACCCTCACTTCCACATCCTGCAAACAACTCTTAGCATCCTGCTACTTCCTTATTTTGCCTCATACCAGAGTCAAGAGCACCATTTCAATGTGTCTCTTACATTTAATTTACTAAACTCCAGGTCAAATTGAGCCCTGGTCTACTTGAAGAAAAATACACAGATGTAGTTTCTCCTTCCTTGTGCACGTTCATCTATCTTTACTCTAATTCACTCAGAACTCAGAGAAAAACGCATGTGTATCGAAACATTTGTATGGCATTGATTGTTCCCCATGCGATTATGCCAACAGCAATAGTGTGAAAGCATGGGGGTGAAAATCATCTCTGTAGCTTGTCTTTTGTGGGTTTACACCCCAGTGAGGTAGGACAGATAGCCTAAGGTGTGTCTCTACTTTTCTCTGAGATTTGTCTTTTCAGTAAGAGTGTATTTATTATACCTCCTGCTTGCTTTTAGTGACTGATAGATTTCTTGAAGGTAGACAGATTCTTTTTCACTTGAAAAAAAATTTATTTCTGTTGTAGTAAAACTGTTTCTTTAAAAAAGTTTTTAAAGATGTGAGACTAGATGTCATTTTAAGCTGGTACAAACTGTTCAAATTTTGATAACAATAAATCAGATTAGAGGTGTAGGATACCATTTTGTTTTCCGCTAGCCCCACTTACAGCCAAGTGCCCATCATTCCAAACTATCTGCCTCCATCTTTGTTCTTCTTCCCTCTCCCCTACTATTCTGATCTCCCATAAGACCTCTCACACTTTCCTATCTTATCTGTCAACCCAGTGATCCCTCATAATTGAATATTTGAGACCACTGGAGAAGCCTAAGCAGTGTTGGAGCTCATGAAACTTATATTTGCTAGGTGTATGGTATACCTGCTCACAAGGATCTTCTAAACTCCTGAGAGACAAGACACATAAACAAAGTTTATTAAGTGTGATTCATGCTTCAATAGATATTATCCAGAGGAGAGGGCTTTGACTTTTTCTGGGTCAGTCAAGGAATATTTCACTGCAAAGGTGATATTTAGCTGAATCTTAAGGGATGAGTAAGAGTTTGCCAATGAAGGAAGGCATTTTACGTTAAAAAAACAAAAAAAGCAATATGATAAAGGGAATAGAGGAAGGCAATGATGTGATCCATTTGGAGAAAAGAAGTTAAATGGGACTGGAAGGAAGAATAGTCAAAGGTGAGGGACCAGATGCTGGCTGGGCAGATGTTAAAAGACTGTGAGCAGAGGCATGCCATCATCACATCGAAACAGTATGGAAGATGAATTAACATAGGTACTAAGTTCACATAAAAGTCTATGGCCATAGTCAGAGAGAGGTGGGACGGAGTCAAGGGGATTAAGAGGCTGGATGGAATCAAGAGAGTTACAGGAATCAGAATCCACATCAATTCATAACAAAGTGCAGGAGGGCAGGATGAGGGAGAAAGCAGAAGTAAAGGTTTTAATTCCCAGGTGCCATTAACCAAAATAGAGAATAAAAGATATTGGCTGGGATTGCATCAGCATGAGGAGCATAATATAGCTGATTCTGGAAGTGCTGAGTATAAGGATCCTGTGAGCTAAGCTGAGTTATATATTTGGGAGTCTAATAGGCAGAAAGGTTGAAGTCATAGGTGTGGATGCAGTGACTCAAGGTAGAACGCCCCTGAATGGGCCTGGTTCCTCTAAATTAGTCTAAGGGATGTCAGCCATACTTCCGAGAGATCTCAAATATATATTCCCTGGTTTACAAAATTCAAGTAAGATATTCTCATCCTTTAATGATGCATGAGACTGCCAGACAGTCCATTAGCCAGAGGTCGCTGATATCATCTAGCCACAAGGTTTAAACCTCTGAGGTCTTAGAAAGCAGTTTTCCAAGGGGCTGCAGAAATGTACTTCTCCTTTGCTTATGAATACCCATAGGAGCTGGTATCACTAAGATACTATGCAATCTAACTCCCTCTGGAAAATCAAAATGCTCATAAAATAATGCTAAGATCTTGTCAAATAAGGCCTTACCCAGCCATATTCAAGGAGGAAAGCATTCCTTCTGACTTCTGAAAAATGGCCTATTTGCCTTCTCCAAAAAATAATGTCAGAACATATCACAACTATTACTGTATATTTAATAATGATGGAAATTTTAACTTTCAAGGATCCTACTTAGAAATCAAAAAGAAGGGCTTTCAAAGCTACATTGCTTATTTCTCTGTGTGTGTGTGTGTGTGTTGTTTTTTTTTAACCTCTTTATTGGAGTATAACAGCTTTACAATGGTGTGTTAGTTTCTGCTGTATAATAAAGTGAATCAGCTATACGTATACGTAAAAAACAAAAAAGGTGGGGAGAGGAGAAATTCCTCCCTCTTTCTTCTTACCCAGTTGCTTGAGCTGGGGCATCTGTCTTCTGCCCTGGGCTTCCATGGTTCTCAGGCCTGGGGACTGCAACTGATTTACACCACCAGTTTTCCTGGGTCTCCAGCTTGCAGATGGCAGCTGGTGGATTTAAAAAAAAAAAAAAGTTACATTACTAGTTACTAAGTAGAGAAGACCCTTGTTTTCCTCACCTCCTTCAGGGTGAGACCAGAAGGTTAGTCACTTTAGTGTGTGTGTGTGTGTGTGTGTGTGTGTGTGTGTCTGTGTGTACATATGCACACCTGAAATCTGATAGATAGTCCATGATCTTTGAAAATTTGTTTTGCTTTCCCAAAAGTTTGTTTGGTTATGTTTTTATTTAATCTCTCTGGGCTTACGTTTCATCTTAGCCACCATTTAATAAGTTTCTTGGATGTGCCAAACGATAGGAGTTTTATATTCTTTATTTCATCTCCTCTTCTGTTACTTATATGAATGAGATATTAGCATGGAGTTTTTTTGTTTTGGGGGGTTTTTTTGCGGTACGCGGGCCTCACACTGCCGTGGCCTCTCCCGTTGCGGAGCACAGGCTCTGGATGCACAGGCTCAGCAGCCATGGCTCACGGGCCCAGCCGCTCCGCGGCATGCGGGATCCTCCCGGACTGGGGCACGAACCCACATCCTCTGCATCGGCAGGCAGACTCCCAACCACTGCGCCACCAGGGAAGCCCCTACCATGGACTTTTATACATAAATCTGAATCTGCAAAAGGTTAACCAACTTGTCCAAGGTCACACATCCACAAAGAGGCACAGCAAGTGTCTGAAACTAAGTCTTTCTGACACAAAAGCCCCCGCTATGAAACACAAGGGATGAACTTGCCCAGAGAAAGAGACTACATGAGGATACAGCCAGAAGGCACCATCTGCAAACCAGGGGGAGAGGCCTCAGGAGAAGCCAAACCGGCAGATCCCTTGATCTTAGACTTCTAGACTTCAAAACGATTTCCCAGGAGCTCTATGACCCTGTGACTTTGGTTACTGGATTACAGCCCAGGGATAAGCAAAGCTGACCTTCAGCAACATTACTGATCTCTCTTAGTAGTAATAATTATAAAGAGATTATCTCAGAATTTCTATGTGAACAATCTTATTGTTTAAAAATAATGACTTTTTTTGGGGCTTCCCTGCTGGCACAGCGGTTGAGAGTCCACCTGCCGATGCAGGGGACATGGGTTTGTGCCCAGGTGCGGGATGATCCCACATGCCGTAGAGCGGCTGGGCCCGTGAGCCATGGCTGCTGAGCCCGCGCATCCAGAGCCTGTGCTCCGCGATGGGAGAGGCCACAATAGTGAGAGGCCCACATACCACAAAAAGAAAAAAAAAAAAAAGACTTTTTCAGAAGCAAGAAGAACTACAATCCTGCAGTCTGTGGAACAAAAACCACATTCACAGAAAGATAGACAAGATGAAAAGGCACAGGGCTATATACCAGATGAAGGAATAAGACAAAACCCCAGAAAAACAACTAAATGAAGTGGAGATAGGAAACCTTCCAGAAAAAGAATTCAGAATAATGATAGTGAAGATGATCCAGGACCTTGGAAAAAGAATGGAGGCAAATATTGAGAAGATGCAAGAAATGTTTAACAAAGACCTAGAAGAATTAAAGAACAGAGATGAACAATACAATAACTGAAATGAAAACTACACTACAAGGAATCAATAGCAGATTAACTGAGGCAGGAGAATGGAGAAGTGACCTAGAAGACAGACTGGTGGAATTCACTGCTGTGGAACAGAGTAAAGAAAAAAGAATGAAAAGAAATGAAGACAGCCTAAGAGACCTCTGGGACAACATTAAACGCAACAACGTTCGCATTATAGGGGTCCCAGAAGGAGAAGAGAGAAAGAAAGGACCCAAGAAAATATTTGAAGAGATTACAGTCGAAAACTTCCCTAACATGGGAAAGGAAATAGCCCCCCAAGTCCAGGAAGCACAGAGAGTCCCATACAGGATAAACCGAAGGAGAGACACGCCAAGACACATACTAATCAAATTGGCAAAAATTAAAGACAAAAATTATTGAAAGCAGCAAGGGAAAATGACAAATAACATACAAGGGAACTCCCATAAGGTTAATAGCTGACTTCTCAGCAGAAACTCTACAAGCCAGAAGGGAGTGGCATGATATACTTAAAGTGATGAAAGGGAAGAACCTACAACCAAGATACTCTACCCAGCAAGGATTTCATTCAGATTCGATGGAGAAAGCAAAAGCTTTACAGAAAAAGCAAGAGATAAGAGAATTCAGCACCACCAAACCAGCTCTACAACAAATGCTAAAGGAACTTCTCTAAGTGGAAGACACAAGACAAGAAAAGGACCTACAAAAACAAACCCAAAACAATTAAGAAAATGGTCAGAGGAACATACATATCGATAATTACCTTAAACATGAATGGATTAAATGCTCCAACCAAAAGACACAGGCTTGCTGAATGGATACAAAAACAAGACCCTTATATATGCTGTCTACAAGAGACCCACTTTAGACCTAGAGACACATACAGACTAAGAGTGAGGGGATGGAAAAAGATATTCCATGCAAATGTAAATCAAAAGAAAGCTGGAGTAGCTATACTCATATCAGATAAAATAGACTTTAAAATAAAGAACGTTACAAGAGACAAGGAAGGACACTACATAATGATCGAGGGATCAATCCAAGAAGAAGATATAACAATTATAAATATATATGTACCGAACATAGGAGCACCTCAATACATAAGGCAACTGCTAACAGCTATAAAAGAGGAAATCGACAGTAACACAATAATAGTGGGGGACTTTAACACCCCACTTACACCAATGGACAGATCATCCAAAATGAAAATAAATAAGGAAACAGAAGGTTTAAATGACACAATAGACCAGATAGATTTAATTGATATTTATAGGACATTCCATCCAAAAACAGCAGATTACACTTTCTCCTCAAGTGCACACAGAACATTCTCCAGGATAGATCACATCTTGGGTCACAAATCAAGCCTCAGTAAATTTAAGAAAACTGAAATCATATCAAGCATCTTTTCTGACCACAATGCTATGAGATTAGAAATGAATTACAGGGGAAAAAAACGTAAAAAACACAAATACATGGAGGCTAAACAATATGCTAGTAAATAACCAAGAGATCACTGAAGAAATCAAAGAGAAAATCAAAGAACACCTAGAGACAAATGACAACGAAAACACGACAATCCAAAACCAATGGGATGCAGTAAAAGCAGTTCAAAGAGGGAAGTTTATAGCTATACAAGCCTATCTCAAGAAACAAAAAAATTTCAAGTAAACAATCTAAACTTACACCTAAAGGAACTAGACAAAGAAGAACAAACAAAACCCAAAGTTAGCAGAAGGAAAGAAATCATAAAGATCAGAGCAGAAATAAATGAAATAGAAACAAAGAACACAATAGCAAAGATCAATAAAACTAAAAGCTGGTTCTTTGAGAAGATAAACAATATTGATAAACTATTAGCGAGACTCGTCAAGAAAAATAGGGAGAGGACTCAAATCAATAAAATTAGAAATGAAAAATGAGAAGTTACAACAGACACCACAGAAATACAAAGCATTCTACAAGACTACTAAAAGCAACTCTATGCCAGTAAAATGGACAACCTGGAAGAAATGGACAAATACTTAGATAAGTATAACCTTCCAAGACTGAACGAGGAAGAAACAGAAAATTTGAGCAGACCAATCACAAGTAATGAAATTGAAACGGTGATTAAAAATCTTCAACAAACAAAAGTCCAAGACCAGATGAATTCTATCAAACATTTAGAGAAGAGCTAACACCCATCCTTCTCAAACTCTTCCAAAATATTGCAGAGGAAGGAACACTCCCAAACTCATTCTATGAGGCCACCATCACCCTGATCCCAAAACCAGACAAAGATACTACAAAAAAAGGAAATTACAGACCAATATCACTGATGCATATAGATGCAAAAAATCATCAACAAAAGACTAGCAAACAGAATCCAACAACACATTAAAACGGTCATACACCATGATCCAATGGCATTTATCCCAGAGATGCAAGGATTCTTCAATATGTGCAAATCAATCAATGTGATACACCATATTAACAAATTGAAGAATAAAAACCATATGATCATCTCAATAGATGCACAAAAAGCTTTTGACAAAATTCAACACCCATTTATGATAAAAACTCTCCAGAAAGTGGGCATAGAGGGAACTACCTCAACATAATAAAGGCCATGTAGGACAAACCCACAGCAAACATCATTCTCAATGGTGAAAAACTGAAAGCATTTCCTTTGAGATCAGGAACAAGACAAAGATGTCCACTCTCTCCACTATTATTCAACATAGTTTTGGAAGTCCTAGCCACGGCAATCAGAGAAGAAAAAGAAATAAAAAGAATACAAATTGGAAAAGAAGAAGTAAAACTGTTAGTGTTTGCAGATGACATGATACTATACATAGAGAATCCTAAAATGCCACCAGAAAACTACTAGAGCTAATCAATTAATTTGGTAAAGTTGCAGGATACAAAATTAATGCACAGAAATCTCTTGCATTCCTATACACTAATGATGAAAAATCTGAAAGAGAAATTAAGGAAACACTTCCATTTACCACTGCCACAAAAAGAATAAAATACCTAGGAATAAACCTACCTAGGGAGACAAAAGACCTGTATGCAGAAGACTATAAGACACTGATGAAAGAAATTAAAGATGATACCAACAGATGGAGAGATATACCATGTTCTTGGATTGGAAAAATCAATATTGTGAAAATGACTATACTACCCAAAGCAATCTACAGATTCAGTGCAATCCCTATCAAATTACCAATGGCATTTTTTACGGAACTAGAACAACTCATCTTTTAATTTGTATGGAGACACAAAGACCCCGAATAGCCAAAGCAGTCTTGAGGGAAAAAAATGGAGCTGAAGGAATCAGACTCCCTGACTTCAGACTATACTACAAAGCTACAGTAATCAAGACAATATGGTACTGGCACAAATACAGAAACATAGATCAATGGAACAAGGTAGAAAGCCCAGAGATAAACCCATGCACCTATGGTCA